CTCTCGCTACAATATTTACAACAAACCAACAAAATGACACAAATCCGTGACACTTTGGTCATAAATATTATTTACCAACTAGGTGCTTATTTATGCATTTTCTCCTGGGATGTCAATAGTAAACGATTTATATTTCAGTTTGTACTGGCAACAGGAATTCAAGTATATAATATTGTATATTCGATCTTAATAATCGTAAAGGAGAATAAAAAGGTGATAGACGCGAATGTTATGTTAGCACGTTCAGTGTTGAATCTCATGATATATTATTCTTTTCTAAGAGACAGAAAATTTTGGAAACAACTATTCCGGATAATAGCGTCTTTGGAAAACAAATGCGGAATTGTATATGTTTCTAACAGAACAATATTTTTTAAAGTTTTAGTGTTGATTTGTGTAATTTTGTACAGTATTTGGGCGTTTCATTTTATAATTAGAAAAAGCCAAGTAAACTTTTTGTTAAGTTTACAATGTATATTTATTACTATATTTATTTTTGAAATATCCACTATGATAACAAAAAGGCAAGAAATTTTCAACGAACGTCTTAAAATGTGTTATAAATCAAAACATTTGATAGCAGGAGAAATGCAATGTAACATAAATGATTTGAAAAAAATATATATAATTATTTATCGTTTAGTGGAACTAATAAATAATGGATTTGGATTGCGAATTTTAATAGTAATACTGTTGGGTATGATTCAGTTTATATTTGGAATAGATTCACTTGCTAAAGTTATGGTGAGCAGAATATTACCTGCTACGCCTCATTTCGCTTTGTCATTGGTAAGAAATAAGATGTTATATAAAACTGATTATTGATTATTTTAATAAGGAGTAAAATAATTTTAAGCGTACATTTCTTAGCTCTTCATTATTTATCTTTAACTCTGATACCTAAGAGAGAAATCTGTAAATATTTTATACATATTTGCTAGACTTTTTTTTTAAATATTCTTTTTTAGAAACAATTTTTGTAGTGGAAATCTAAACGTTAAACATAAATTAAAACTGTAATTTTCATTACAAGTAATTGTGGCTGAATCCCATATAAACAAAATATTTTTATGTCGTTTTTGGTAAAGTTATTGCAGATTCATTTGTCTTCATCATGGAAACATTTTTATCATCTTTGAAAATAAGGCTATTATCGAGCACAAGTTAACTAAATCTAGCCCAAGTACTTTCGCTTAAAATAGCATCTTCAGGGGCATTTCGTCAAAATGTAAACTATCCGGCAAGCGTAGAATGTGGAAACATTAAAAATAACATAAAATTGTACAAAAACACTACACTAAAACGAGGACAAACAGTTTAAAATTACTTAAAGATTCTACGCTACATTCTCTGTCAGTATCTGGAGGGATGATCCTCTGAATCGTCCTCTGATTTTTCCTCTGTTGTTGAATATACATTAACCTTTCTAATACGAGAGGGCGAATTTTTGCCCCAGCTGTAGCACGAATCTTTTGCCTTTTAGTATCGAATATTTCTCCCTGCCCCGATGGACTGCCACCTGAGGCACTGAAGATAGCAACAACAGAGAAACTAGGTTTGACCAGAAAAATATATATCGATCTACTGCGAAAGCAAGAGTTTCCCAGGGAACTAAAGGAAGCAAATCTGATTTTACTCCTAAAGCCCGGGAAACCCACCGATTCAACATCCTCTTATAGGCCAATATGCCTTCTGGACTGTCTTGGCAAGTTCTATGAGAATCTTTCCAGGAAGAGGCTAGAAGGCGTGTTGGCAGATAAGAGAGCTAAGAGAGATAAGGTCGATCAGCAGTCGACGCCGCGATCTGGATAAGAAACGCGGTAAAAACAATCAAAAATAAATCGGTGGTACTTGCTTTATTGGACATTTAAAACGCCTTTAATTCAGCGAACTAGGGTCTCATCGTAGCCAAGATTATCGAAATAAAAAAGTGTTTATATGTGTCCAATATAAAAAAGGACTACCTATCGCAAAGAAGCGTATGCATATCGAAGAAAAATAAGATGAAAATGATTGCTGGAGTAGTCCAAGGTCAGTCCCAGGGTCAGTCCTGCGACCCACACTATGAAATATTTTATACAACGGGGTACTAGAACTAAAAAAAAACACAAGGAGTAAGGGCTATTGCATACGCAGACGACCTAGCCCTACTTATAGAAGATATAATTGAGGTATAAACAAAGTAAATTAAGCAATAGAAAAAACTGCGAGATAGACAGAGAGAAATGTCCTAAAAATTGCAGTAGAAAAGAGAGAAGAAATCATCTTGAGGGGACCACGGGATAGAAAAAACGTAATTTTTTTATTCAGAGGCTCTGACCTTTTTTTTTCGTCTTTATAGACGAAAAAATCTTCAAAATCTTCAAAAGACATCTCAGTCCAGGACGCCGCCTGACTAACCTTAGTGCAGGATTCGTTCTTCGTATTCCCGGTGATAATTCCCGAGGTACTTTAAAATGCCCTCTCGTCGCCGAGTCTACGCCGAACGCCTACCTGCTAAACCAGACCCTCCTCTGTCATCCAGCGATCCGGAAGCGGAATGGCCGCTGTAAGGCCGGCATCACTTCCGAAGCACTACCTTTATTCATTCATTCTCCATTCATACACATCCACACTCCTAGTTCGGCATCATTCCCAGAAGGGCATTTCCTTCTTTCCCACAGTCAAACTCATGCATTCTAACTCAAAAAGTGTGACCCACTGTTCTAACTTCACCTTTCAGCATCATTCACTCTACCTTTGCCGTTGGTCCAGCTGTCTTTCTTCCTCTTCCTTTTTTTAATCCAACCTAATTTATTTTCAATCATTCTCTCAATCATTTCTCTCACTGTAACAAAATTCATACCTGTCTCTCTCTCCATTCTGTTCCTTTCCACTATCCATCTGCTGCAATCTAACATCGTATGTGTCACAGTGTCCGAGTATCCACAATATAGGCATTCATCTGTATCAGCCTTATCGATCCTATAAAGGTAGGCCCTAAAACACCCGTGTCCTGTGAGCACCTGCGTCAGGAAATAATCCAATCACCTGTGGCCACAGTCCACCCAAGCTCTTATGTTAGGGATCAGCATTTTCGTCCACTGTGCCACATCCTCCGTATTGTTCCATTCTTCTTGCCATCTTTCAACTGACCTTTCCCTTACCTGTCTTCTCTCAGCCAGAGTAAGGTTTGGGCCTCTTCTCTCATAAAGCTCTTTTCTTTCCACCGCCAAAACATGCAACGGAACACATCCAGTGATGGTCCATAAGGCTGCCGCAGACACAGTCCTGTAGGCGCATGCCACTCGCAACAGACTTGTTCTCTCTACTCGTTTCATAAGACTCCTATAGGCCGTTATCTCTACCGCCTCGCTCCAGACTGGCGCCGCGCAGAGGCTCTGACCTAAGACCCCAGAAGACCGTGAAATACTTGAGAATCATACTAGATGACAAAATGGCATTCAGACACCACATACAAGAAGCATGGTGGAAGGCGGAAGAGAGGACCTTGACCCTTAATAAGATAATGCCGAATATAGGAGCCGCAGGGTCACACAAAAGATCAGGTATCCTACAGTCGATCATGTCCATCTTACTAAATGGGGCCCCAGTGTGGCGTGAGATCCTCAACAAAGCAAAATATAAAGACATGCTTCTTAGGACGCAGAGGAAACCATTGATCAGGGTATGCAGCGCGTACAGGACCGTATCAACCATTGGCTTACAAGTAGTGGCCGGTGCTGTACCGGTGCATATCCTGGCTAATGAAAGGGTTCGGATGCATCAAAGTGGCAATGAAGCTTTAGATTCAGGAACACAAAAAAGAAAAAGGAGTTTGGAGATCTGGCAGGACCAATGGTCAAGGAAAACAGACAAGGCTGCCTGGACGAGGGCCCTTATCCCAGATGTAGTAAGGTGCTATGTGTGTAAACACAGACGTGTGTGACCAATTTATGACGGGAGATGGATCTTTCCGGTCTTATACAAATAGAATAAAGAAGACTGAGGATGATCTGCGTTCCAAGTGTGTAGAGGTGGATGACACGCATCATGTGGTATTCGTATGCCTTGCATACAATGTAGGGCGAACCCTGCTGCAGCTGGGCCTAGGGTCACCTCTAGGCAAGCCATATGAACTAATGAATAAAGCAATTGGAAACAAAAGAACCTTTGACTTGATCATCGGTTTTGTGAGAAAGACCATAAAACACTAGGAAGAGAAAGAGAGGAGTCGGAACAAAGATGAACTGTTTATTTTAATGTGTCGTATCTGTCGGCGTCAGTGGGGTGAGCCACTATTCAGCTTGTACTACTGACGCCGAAATCTTAAATGAATTCTCAAAGACCTTGACTATATTACAGCAATCAATTTACATACGTGTTGTTTGGTTTTGTTTAAATTAAAATACTTACGGGATTCTTTTATCTCTTGGCCAATTCCATCCCATACTTTATCCTTCTTTCTGATGTTTTTTTATTCATCGTGTCAAATCATTAAGTGTTGGACATTTTTTTACCAATTCTTTTAATTTTTCTATTGGAACCATTCTAAATTCACAACGATAACAAGAGAAAACGCAGCCATCTGCGTTAACAAAATATAACGCAGTAGTAATATTGTTGCTGCCAGATATCATCGCACCAACGAGTTGGTTCTCGTTAATCGCCGTGGCCATTCGTCTCGCGAAAATTTTGCATTGTGATATTGTCGTCAACGCACCAATTAATCACAGCAATCTGTTTATGCCTGAATTGTTAATAATTAAAAAATATGCCGAAATCTCTGCACAAAACATATAGGTTTTTTATGCGTACCTACAATATTTAAAAAAGTTCAGATACCTATCTGGATTTGTCTCATTCTTTTCTGGATTTTTCATCAATTATGTTAACTAGATACATACTTTACAGTTTACATACGCTCTTTTTTTTAGATTCTTATCACAGTTATATCCTTTTCTGGAGACATAATTGAAACAACTGGCTTCAAAACTATGCAATTGTTGTATACAATAAAAATGGATGATCAAAGTAATATCAATGAACAGCCTTGTACCCAGGATCGGAACAACGATTTCATTACTTTCTTAGAAAAATTAAGACCTGAAATAACTGTTAGTAGATTTGTTAGTGTCAACAGAAACTTGTTGCCCAAGCTTTTATCAACCATAGCAACTTATGCTATTGTTTTAATTCAACTTAATTCAATGGTGTTATAATACAAATATTATTAAGAGTTATTTATAAAATAAGTATAAAAAATAAATATTGCACGTGAAATTGTCCAGCTACATGACGTGTTACACACAATAATATTTCTACGTTCGGGCAAAAACCAAAAACATTTTATGTAGGTGAGACATGCAAGTATAAGAAAGAGTAAGTAAATAGTAATAGATAATACAGTTTATTATATATATATATATATATATATATTATATATATATATATATATATTATATATATATATATATATATATATATAAAGAATTAAATCTTTTAGCGAAAGCCGCTATCGCTGTATGTATTAAATGGCCAACTATATGGCTTAGGAGACAAATTCGTTAAACTTCCCGTGCTCGAATTGGTATCACTAAAGTGTTATGATCATTTCGGCCTATCCCAGCCATCGTCAGACACTTGGGCTGATACAAATTCAAACTCGGAAAGTAAAACGAATGTCTCCCAATCTTCACTACCGTGTAGTTAGCTTATAAAGGCGCCCTCTATTTTGAAGGCCGTGAACGAAACGATATGAATAATCGTTTTCTGTATCCTTTATGCTATGCGAAATGTGTAAAGAGTATATATATATATATATATATATATATATTTAAAAAATATTCAATAGTTGAATAGCAGAGGTTGTATCGGTCAATAATAGGCAAATGAAAGTCGTCAACTACTTCATTGATTTAATCGAATACGTTTCGCTTTTTTAGTTTTCAAAAGCATCATCAGTTCAAAAAACAATTTGTAGGTTTTGTAAAAGATGTTAAACACACTCTACGATAACTTAACATTAAAAAATTTTAAAAACTAAACGATAATATCGAAACAAAAAACACACAGGAAAAAACTGAAACAGCACTATTGTTTATTTAATTTTTACCGATGGCTTCATCTCAATGTGGGTGTAAGCTCTTTCGAAGACCCAACACAATGATATTTCGATATTATCGTTTAGTTTTTAAAATTTTTTAATGTTAAGTTATCGTAGAGTGTGGTTTAACATCTTTTACAAAACCTACAAATTGTTTTTTGAACTGATGATGCTTTTGAAAACTAAAAAGCGAAACGTATTCGATTAAATCAATGAAGTAGTTGACGACTTTCATTTGCCTATTATTGACCGATACAACCTCTGCTATTCAACTATTGAATATTTTTTAAATTTAATCAACGGTCGTATTTTTTTGCTATATATATATTATATATATATATATATATATATACATATATATATATATATATATATATATATATATATATATATATATATATATATATATATATATATATAAATCTTAATCAATTTAGCTGTTACGGTTTGGCCATTGCTAGTCTACGCTTGATTTCTAAGAAGTAATCGCCATTATTGTTTATCATGAAGCTTAAGTATACAAATCTGTCTACTACTTCTAAATTTGCCACTTGGTGTATGTACGGCAGATTATTATTTAATCTGTTCACAATCATTATTTTTGTTTCCCGGTGTTGATCAGAGGTCCGAGTTTTTCGCTTATCCGGCGAAAGGGATAATACCTAATAATCATTTCGATTTCATTCGCTGCTAGTACATATAATGTGCTAGTATAAAGTGTCTCATCTGCGTATAGCAAGTTACTGATTTTTTTATCTCGTATAGTGATTCCCCCATCCCATTCGTCTAGAACTTTTCTCATTACATACTTAGAATATATGTTCTATAATAATGGTGATACTATTCAGCCCCGTCTAGTTTATTTCTTTGTTTCGAAAGCATCTGAATATATTCCGTGTATTTTAACTTTGGCTGAGTTTTTATTATACATATTTCCTATGAGGGTAACTAGGTAATTACTTCTATATTTTCCATTATACTTCAGAGTTGATCCCATTTTACTGAATCAAAAGCATTTGTGTAATATACGAAACAGAGCAGCAGTGGAATGTTGTGTTCTCTCGCTTTTTCTATTATCTGTCTGGTATTCAATATCTGTTTTCGCGTTCCTTTTCCTGGTAAAAATTTTTATACGAGTCCGTATTATTCTTCGGCTATATCTGGTAGCAGAAAGTTCTTTAACTGGTTTTTGATTATACCTGAAGGATTTTGCTTGCATGAGGAATAAGGGCAATAGTTCTGTAATTGCTGTATACAAGGGATGATCCTTTTTTATGGATCGTAATAAAGGGTCATTCTCACTACTCATCATTCCATTCACCTGTGGTTCATATCATGTTGGATATATCCAGTATTACACTATATCTACGCTATATCTACTCCAATGTCGTCCATTAAGCCATAGTTAAGAGCCTTTTTTACCTTTGCTCGTAAGATTATTTGTCTGCTTCTCTGATTGTATATTTCTTGTGTTCTGAGACTGATGCATAAATAATTGTATTTACTTGTATTTATTTATTTGTATTATTTGGCTGTTTTGTTTGATGTATTCTTCTAGGTGTATGTAGTTTAAACCTACAGACCATTTTTAGCAGTTTATGATATGATCGCATAGCTTTTACATTTAATACTGAAGTTTTCCATATTTTTCGCCTAGGTAAATAATCGATTTAATATTTATGTTCTTTATTTGGACTAGTCCATGTTAAGAGCCTTCTTAGGTGGTGTTTATAAAGTGTATTTATTATCACTAGAGTGTTTTAACTGGGCAACTGTATGTCTGGCTATCACTAACGTAGTCAGTGCTCTTATGGTTTCGCTTACTTCTGATGGAATCTTATCAGTTTATTCGTTAGTTTAAACCCACAGACCATTTTTAGCAGTTTATGATATGATCGCATAGCTATTACATTTAATACTGAAATTTTCCATATTTTTCGTCTAGGTAAATAATCGATTTAATATTTATGTTCTTTATTTGGACTAGTCCATGTTAAGAGCCTTCTTAGGTGGTGTTTATAAAGTGTATTTATTATCACTAGAGTGTTTTCACTGGGCAACTGTATGTCTGGCTATCACTAACTTAGTCAGTGCTCTTATGGTTTCGCTTACTTCTGATGGAATCTTATCAGTTTATTCGTTATCCATATTATCTTTTTTCGAAAACTAATAATTTAAAAACTTTAAAATGCCTAATTCTTTATCATCATCAGTGGCATTACAGCTCGTTATGAGCCAAAGCCTTCTTCAGAACAATCTTCCATTCGCCCGTGTCTCTGGCAACTCTTCTCCATGCTTTAACTCCGATGGATTTTAGATCATCCTTTATGTTATCTTGATACCTAGGTTTTGCTCTTCCTCTGGATTCTCTTTCCACTGGCCCTCTTCGGTCGAAAATTTTTCTGATCGTTGCATCTTCATCTCGCCTAATTACATGTCCTATCCATAGAAGGCGTGATAATTTAATAAATTTTACAACGTCAGGTTCCTGAAAACTTCTGTATAATTCAAAGTTGTAGCGCTTACGCTACAAGCCCTGTTCTTGGACTCCTCCATATATTTTCCTTAGAATTTTTCCCTCGAAACGTGTAAGCAATTCTTGGTCATTGTGTGTGAGTGACCATGTTTCTGACCCGTATGTTAACACTGGCCTTATTAGTGTTTTATATATGGTAGTTTTAATTTTTCAGGGTAGTTTTGGGGTCATCTGTTTCCTCAAGCCATAATAGCACTTATTGGCAAGCACTATTCTTCTTTTAATTTCGTCGCTGACATTGTTGTCTTTGGTCAGCAGCGAGCCCAGGTAGATGAAGGTGTACACACCTTCCAGTTCCAGATCATCAATTAATAGTCTAGGTGTCTGGTTGCCTGATCTAGTACAATACATATACTTGGTTTTCTGTGCGTTTATTTTTAATCCCATTCTCAGTGCAGACGCCCTTAATGATCGAAATGCTTCGATCACAGATTCCGTGGACCTAGCAATAATGTCTATGTCATCTGAAAATCCGACCACATGTACAGATTTATTAAAGATAATGCTATTCGTATTAATATGACACTATCGAAGTACTTTTTCTAGTGCAAGGTTAAATAAGAGGCACGACAGTCCATCTCCCTGTCTCAGTCCATTTTTACAATGGAAGGGTCTTGAAAAATTGTTTTGGATTTTGACTATACTCTCTACGCCTCTGAGTGTAAGTTCCGTTAGTTGAACAGGATGAAATTCCACCACAGCTTGTAGAAGTTTTGTCTGTTGACTGAGTCGTATGAGGCTTTGAAATCCACGAATATGTGGTGGGTGTCGACTCCGAACTCAAGCGTTTTCTCAAGAATCTGCCTGACTGTGAAGATTTGATCCGTTGTTGATTTATTGGGTCGGAATCCGCACTGGTAGTTCTCAACTATTTGTTTAGCATAGGGGATCAATCTTCTGTACAATACGTTGGACAATACTTAATATCCTACGTTAAGTAGGGTGATGTCTGCGGGCGTTTTCTTCAGTAGCCAGATTTCGGTTACTAATTTATGCATGTGTTTAAGAAGGGTGTCACCACCATTTTTAAAGAGTTCGGCAGGAAGATTGTCCAATCCAGGGGTTTTGTTATTTTTCAGTTTTGAAATGGACTCTCTAATTTCTTCTTCGGTGGGGGCGGCTCCTGAGCGTTTTCATCCATTTTAGGCAAGGTAATTTCTATTTGGTCTTCTTCACGATTGTCGCCAAGCAGTTCTTCAAAATGATTCGCCCACCTATTTAGTATCTGTTCTTTGTCACTAATTATGGAACCATCTCTGTCTTTACATGCTGTTATTCTGGGTTTAAATTCTTTTTTGCAGCTGTTAATCTTCAGATAAAATTTTCGCGAGTCTTTTTTCTCTTTTTCTGTTGTGGTTGTTAACAATCTCGTTTACAGCGTTTTCGTCTAAGATTTTCATCGTCTTCCAGGTTTGATCTCGTTCTGCGCTGCTGAAGTTTCTTGTATGTTTCATTTTTCTGTTGGTTAATAGATCTACATTCTTCGTCAAACCAATCTTTGTTTATTTTAGCCTGGTTAGGTTTTAAAAAGCCTTTAGCCGCTGTATGGATACCTTCCTTGAATTTGGTCCAGTGTTCTT